GAATGCTTTCATATGCAAAATATCAAAATTTTTTATTAAGTCTTAAGGTTTGTAAAGCAATGTTTTTCTCATGCCTCTTTTTTTTGCCTATCTAACATGCAAAGTAATTTTCATTTTAAGATTAAAAATACTTTTATGCATCAAAAAATTTTGAAATTTCACATGTCCAGATAGTTATCAAACATTCCTTAAGAAAAACCTTTATATTTTGTCTGTTATTTTCAGTAATTAATCTCTGTAAGGGTTTGGTAGATTTGACTGACCTCGTAATCATCACAAAAAATTAGGAAATAAATATAAATTATGCCTCTTTCATTCTACAATGAACACAAGTTATAACACAAAAACATAAATGTTTAGATTAAATAGCTTAAATCTCATAACATTATACATTTATATATAATTATTTTTATTAAATTGACCTTTCAGCCGTGCCTGGCTAACAAAACAGAAGTTACAATGATGCAACTCACGTGCACTCATGTTACCGTATCCAATAACATAAAACTGACCTTTGGTATTTACAAAGTAACCTGTCTTGGCGGTTTTTTAGTAGACTAGTACTTTGTAAGATACAGTCACATTTCAATTATTATACATTATATATGAATATAGATTATTGTTATTTAGAAATAAGTTCTTAAAACTTATTTTTCTTAAAACACAGAACAGTAACTAAAGAAGTAAAGCATACAATTATCTCTTCTAGTTACAACCTTTGTACTCGGTTGCTGCTTGACGTATGTCGCTAAGCCTTTAAACAATTTCCACGTGGAGGATATGAAACAAACTAATTTGTTGTTAGGTTTTTATATATACATTTGAATAACTAAAAAAAATCATAAATTATTACATTAATACCATAGAATTCCACTATAATTTATCAAGCTTAGTAGCTAAGATGTATTTTAGTCTAAAAAAATGAAATTTCGAGCAGACCAAAGACACACCCTACCTCGTTGAAATATTGGTTCAAAAGAAATAAATAGTGCCAAGCCCGTTAAAATAACTGAAAAAAGCCACTAGGGAGGCATTCTGAGCTTCTGATTGATTATTCATGTCATATATAGAAGTAAGTGTATATAAGGGAGCAT